TGTTTGGCACCATCCCTAGTATACTCACTGAGTGTCGGTATGATTCGTGCACTGCTCCAGATCAGAAGTGTCTCCAGGCATGGTTGTTCTCGGATAGAATTCTTGGTCTTCAAGTAACTGTCTTTTGTCTGATAACCAACTCTGCCGTAAACCTGATTGAGAAAATCGAATATTAGGAAAGACAGTGTTAAGATATGAGCTTTCTATCCATATAGAATATTTAAAGTCTAAGGATAAAATAAAAAAATTAAAATAAATGCTGCCATGAGGTCACTTTTTCTCCAGTTATAAAATAAAACTGATTGTGTGTTCAAATAAAGAAAAGGGGTCTATAACCTAGCAGTCTAAAGACCACTTTATTTTTTTTCAACAATACATGCAGCCTATTTTCTTTTAGTCATGTTTGTTTTTTTTATTATGTTTCAGTTGGACTCAGGGAGCTCACACACATACTTTTTCTTCATATTGGTAGACCGTGTTATTTTGGCCTCTAGTAGAATTTTGTACACCAAATTGTTTTTCTTTAAGCTTTACACCAATACGTGCAGCCAACAAAATGAATTTTGCTAGTGTATTTTCTTTGAAACTCTTAAGGAGAGTGTTCATTACGCCATTCACTGTCCTTTATGTAATCCATGTCTGAGATTAAAAAAACAAACTTGGTTTCCTTAAGGTACCTCTGTACAGAATATCCTTTTAGAAAGTGCTATCATAATAGTATTATGATAATAAATATTAGGCTGTTTAACTGTATATGGATTATTTTGCTTCATCTTCACAATAGCCTCCTGACTCCGAAAATTAAGTATCTTGCCTTAGGTTCCAGTCTTGAAACTGGTAAGGCTGATATTCTAACCCTTGACCTTTGGGCTCCAGAGCCCACTATCCTTAATGTCCTGTAGTGCTCTGAATTCAGCCTGACTTCCCTCTTGTGTTCTAAGGAAGCTAAGATGTAGCCCCACCATGAGTCCTTGCTCAATCCCGCAACCCCCAGTCATGTTCACCTACATTTTAAACCCAGTCTTTTTTTTTTTTTTAAAGATTGTATTTATTTATTTGACAGAGACAACGAGAGCGGGAATACAAGCAGGGGGAGTGGGAGAGGGAGAAGCAGGCTTCCCGCTGAGCAGGGAGCCCAGTGTGGGGCTTGATCCTAGGAGGCTGGGATCATGACTTGAGCTGAAGGCAGGTGGTTAATGACTGAGCCACCCAGGCGCCCCCAGAGTCTTTTTCTGTAGCTGGCAAATATTGACAGTAGTAAGTGGGTGGGTGAAGGTCTGCTTCTCCCAGGTATTCGTTTTAGCACAGTCCGGTTCTCTTCATCTCATGTTTTGATGAATAACAGAGATGAATATGGTCCATCAGTACGGTATACGTGTTCTGCCTCTCGCGTGTCTTGCCAGACAGTTAAGAAGTGTTTTTTTTTTTTTAAATCAGTTAACATAAATTTAACAGATTTGTAATTTTGTTCTCCAGAATGTCTACCAGAGTCCTTTTGGCCACTCTTTCTATCCCTATTACTCCTGAGCGTACTGATATTGCTCGACTTCTGGATATGGACGGCATTATAGTCGAGAAACAACGTCGCCTTGCAACACTGCTAGGTCTTCAAGCCCCACCAACACGAATTGGCCTTATTAATGATATGGTTGGTATAAGTTGGAGCATTCTTACAGCTCAGAATGAAAACTTTACGGTCAGGTTTTATAATTCATGGCAGGTGGTTCTGATGGATGGTATAGCTTGAGTCCTCATCGTATCCATAGCTAAGCTCAGAAGTTGATAGCAAGGTACTGGTCGATGTCAGGACAGTAGCTGACTGAGCCTATCTTAGCATATTTCCTCTTTGGGGAAGGGATGCTAAATGGCGAATCAATTTTTTTAAGAGAGTTTATTTTATTTATTTATTTATTTATTTATTTGACAGATCACAAGCAGGCAGAAAGGCAGGCAGAGAGAGAGGAGGAAGCAGGCTCCCTGCTGAGCAGAGAGCCTGATGTGGAGCTTGATCCCAGAACCCTGGGATCATGACCTGAGCCGAAGGCAGAGGCTTTAACCCACTGAGCCACTCAGGCGCCCCAAGAGTTTATTTATTTGACAGAGAGCGAGAGAGGGAATAAAAGCAGGGGTAGTGGGAGAGGGAAAAGGAGGCTTCCCGCTGAACAGAGGGCCTGATGCAGGGCTCGATCCCAGGAGCCACCCAGGTGCCCCTAGAATAATTTCTTGATAGGAATAAAATTAGAGCTGGGAGAATTTTATTTGAATTCTTACATCACGGCTAATTTCAGTAATAAGGGCATTTATAAAGAGAAGTATTCAAGAAATGTGGACTGTTAGTCATGCATGCATTTTGTACTGGGGATAGATTAGAGTGTTCATGTGTGGGGATAGGATCTGCCATTGTTTGCCTCGGTCTTTTTTTTTTTTTTTTTTTAAGGATTTTTATTTTATTTATTTGACAGAGATCACAAATAGGCAGACAGGCAGGCAGAGAGAGAGGGGGAAGCAGGCTCCCCGCTGAGCAGAGAGTCTGATGAAGGGCTTGATGCCAGGACCCTGGGATCATGACCTGAGCTGAAGGCAGAGGCTTTAACCCACTGAGCCACCCAGGCGCCCCCGTTTGCCTCAGTGTGACTAGTAAGTAGGTCTGTATGGGAACACACTCCTGTGCTTGCAGGTCTTGGTATGTCCCTGCAGTTAGTCTGTCGCTGGTTGGCAGTTCCAGTATATGAAGGATAAAGGTCCACATGCATTATGCATTCTAGGTTATAGCTTAGGTATAAGGTAAGATGTACTTCGGGCACTTTCGAGGTTTATGAAATTAGTCCACTTTTTTGTCTCCTTTTAAGAAATGTTACGCAGTGGCATACTTAGCTGAGTTCTAGTGCCATGTAAGAATATAAATCCTAAATGTAATTGGGTAAATTCTCATAAGGTGGTTTCTAGTCACTGCTTCCCACCCCCCCAGTAGCCTACCCAGATTTGTAACACCACATACTAGTTTGCCTGTGTACTTTGTATGAGATTTGAGTTCTGTATTTATGCAATACGTTGAATTCTTTTTCTTAGCATTATATTTGTGAGACTTACATGTTGAATGTAGCTGTTTTTTCTTTGATCATTTTTGTATAAGCACATCTTACTGGGGCGCCTGGGTGACTCAGCATCTGCTTTTGGCTCAGGTCATGATCTCAGGGACCTGGGATCAAGCCCGGATTCTGGCTCCCTGCTCAGTGGGGAACCTGCTTCTCCCTCTGTCTCTCCCCCTGCTCATGCTTTCTCTCTCTCTCAAATAAATAATCTTAAAAAAATATTACATGTACTTTTTTTTTTCCCCCCTAGTTTAGGGCTGTTACGGGTAGTGTTGCTAAGGTAATTTTTGTGTAATGCAGTTACCTGTAAGCTGTGGTGTTTTACTTACTAGTAGTAATAAATTAGCTTGTACACATGAGTTGTCTTCATAAATGTTTTATTGATCATGTTGATTTAGAGTTTTTATATCCTTCTAAACTCTCGGGGGACATTTAACTGTAGATGTATAATTTGGGGTTAGAGACTCAAACATAGTTTTCGTTTGAATTCTTCTGGTGAATTTAAAGAGAGTTGAGGCCAATTTTTCAGATGTTTTCCAGATTTCCAATCCCCTATTTTTCTTACTTATACTCAGTTCAGTTGGAAATCTAGTTGGAATATTTCCTTCAGCAAATTAAACCTTTTGTTTATTACAGGTCAGATTCAACGTACTACAGTATGTTGTCCCTGAAGTGAAAGACCTTTACAATTGGCTGGAAGTAGAATTTAACCCACTAAAACTCTGTGAGAGAGTCACAAAGGTAAGACTTTGTATTTTAGTTTGGTTATACTACCATATAGCTGGCCCTTGTGCTATTACAGATTCTTTTTATATTGAGAGACAAGCATTGTCCTATACGTTTGAATTCAGTGCACATTTCATTGTCTTTTTTTCTTTACATCAGGAAAAAAGATATTTCTGATGTGCTAAATAAACCTTTGGAGGTAAATTAGCAGCATGACTGATTTAGCCATTGCTGTCAGTCACCTTCAGACAAGCCTCAGTATAGCTTCGTATTATGTGTGTATTTCCCCTCACTGTGCGATGTTTTTATGTTTAAAAAACCAGAAAAGTTTCACAAATGTTTGAGTGTTACTTAGAAAATATCATTCTTTTTTAATGTACTGGATTGTACAGGTTCTGAATTGGGTTCGGGAACAACCTGAAAAAGAGCCAGAGTTGCAGCAGTATGTTCCACAGCTGCAAAACAACACCATACTCCGTCTTCTGCAGCAGGTAAACAGTTGTAAAGGAGCGTTCTATTTACAACTGGAATTTTTCCCCTCGGTTGTTTTTTTCATCACAGCAGTAAAAAATGTCGGAACCACTAGAAAGTTAACCCTTCACCAGACTCCAGCCTTGCCAAAACTGGTCTTTCTGTTTGATTTGAAAAGCAGTTATTTTATGTAATTTGTAATTGCTTTTTTCTCCTTAATTGTTGAACACCATCTTTGTACATTTTTCCTCATTATCAGTGTAAATTTATTTTACTCCTTTTAATGCCTTCATGGTTTTACATTGTCTAAAGGGTACTACTGTGATTTATTTATTCAGACCCTTTTGATGGAAGTCTGTATTTCTAGGGTTTTTTTGCTGTTAGAAAATGTTGCAGCATTAAACATTTCCATATATACATCTTTGCATACTTCTGTGGCTTTCTATCATCTAGGAAGTGGAATTAGTCACAGGGCTTACACATTTAAGCTTTAGCAGCTCTACAAGATTCTGTTAATGAACCCTCCTACCAGTAGTGATTGGGAAGGCCTTTTCTGTTTCTCACACTAGTTATTGTTAGTCTTTTGTCATATTTTAGTCTGACTTAAATAAGTTTAAAGAGTATGGTTTATAATATGGCTTCAGTGTTCTTATTTTGTCTTCATTTGTTTCACGGGGAGGGGCTTTTATGATACATTGGCTTGTAGTATTTGTGCACATTCCATTGGCCTGCCTCTCTTTTATAGGTGAGCAGTGTTATTTTTTATGTGCTATACAAATAGTTGAAGGTTAATTAGCAGTATAACTGAATTGTAATGCTGCCAGTCTCCTTCAGACAAATTTATTGAAAGTGTTTAGGTGAATTAGGTAAGTAGCAGGTCTTTATCTACAAATATAAGGTGATTTAGGGCTTTCTGTTTTATAAAACTAGAATTTGAAAGGATTGGGCTTCCGAGGAATGGTACAATGTGGTGGCTCAAAGCATAGCATTTGGGGTTTATATCCTTGAATTGGAATTCCAGCTCCAGCAATGTAGTGTTAACACTTAGTCTAAGCTTCAGTTTCTTTTCTCTGAGAAATGGGCATAATTTCTACTCTCAGGCTTGTGTAAGACTGCACAAAAAAAATACTGAATAGGGGCGCCTGGGTGGCTCAGTTGGTTAGCTGTCTGCCTTCGGTTCAGGTCATGGTCCCGGGGTCCTGGGATCGATCCCCGAATCGGGCTCCCTGCTTGGTGGAGAGCCTGCTTCTCCCTCTCCCTCTGCTTGCTGCTCTGCCTACTTGTGCTCTTTCTCTCTGTCAAATAAATAAAATCTTTTAAAAGAAATGCTGGATAAATGATAGCTGTTGTTACTAACCTTGTGTTTCTTATGCAGGTGGCACAAATTTATCAGAGCATTGAGTTTTCTCGTTTGACCTCTCTGGTTCCTTTTGTTGATGCTTTCCAACTGGAACGGGCTATAGTAGATGCAGCGAGGCACTGTGACCTGCAGGTATGTGCCGGAAGGGACACGGAGGTGGGAGGCTTTTAAGGACAGAAAAACACATATCCTTTGTTTCTCAGCTTTTGGTTCACTGGCACCATTTTAAAGTTGTGCTGAGTGAATCTTCTGGCTTTTGTATTTAATTAACATTCTTATTTTTTTTCCCCTTATGATCAGTTGAAATTTTTTGTCAAACGTCATTTATTTCTAGAATGATTTCATACTTATTTATAGATGTAACTATTGATGATGTTACTTAATTCTCCAAAGGTTCGTATTGACCACACTTCTCGGACACTTAGTTTTGGATCTGATTTGAATTATGCTACTCGAGAAGATGCTCCAATTGGTCCTCATTTGCAAAGCATGCCTTCAGAACAGATAAGAAATCAGCTGACAGCGATGTCCTCAGTACTTGCAAAGGCACTTGAAGTCATTAAGCCAGCTCATATACTGGTATGTATCTTTGGGGGAAAATGACATACAGAATTTTTGAGGGACCCTTATTCTGTGTCTTACATACAAAGGTTTGAGATGAGTCTGAGAAAATGGGCTTATTCTATATTTCCTCTTCAGTTGTATTGGCTAGTTTTGGTATTCTACCTATTACACACATGACCCCCCGCCGACACCCATAAGGGGTACTGTGCTTGGGCTTTTCCTCTCGGCTTAAGTTCTTGTCTTGTTTGTGTGCTCTGTGAGCATGTCCCCGTGGCTTGCACACTTTAAAGTAGATTTGGTGCATAGAAAACTTGACCTAGCAAATAAAGGTTCTTTAGCTGCATCACTCCTATTGATAAGACTGTATAGGTCATAGTATTTGGTGCTAGGAACTAGTATCTTGAATAACATCATCTCCTGTTCTTAAATGCAGACATGTGAGGGTAATGCACCAGGGTTTTGTGTTTTTTTTTGTGTGTTTTTTTTGTTTTGTTTTGTTTTCTTTTTTTCAGATTTTATTTATTTATTTGACAGACAGAGATCACAAGTAGGCAGAGAGGCAGGCAGAGAGAGAGGAGGAAGCAGGCTCCCTGCCGCCCTATGTGGGGCTAGATCCCAGGATGCTGGGATCGTGACCTGAGCCGAAGGCAGAGGCTTTAACCTACTGAGCCACCCAGGCGCCCCCACCAGGGTTATTTAATAATTATATGATGTGTAATGTCATGGTGTGTGTCACACAAGAATTTTTAAAAATGCATTTGTCTTTAAAGCAAGAGAAAGAAGAACAGCATCAGTTGGCTGTTACTGCATACCTTAAAAATTCACGAAAAGAGCATCAGCGTATTCTGGCCCGCCGTCAGACAATCGAGGAAAGGAAGGAGCGCCTGGAGAGTCTGAATATTCAGCGTGAGAAAGAAGAACTGGAGCAGAGGGAAGCTGAGCTCCAGAAAGTACGGAAGGCTGAAGAAGAGAGGCTGCGACAGGAAGCAAAGGAGAGGGAGAAAGAGCGCATCTTGCAGGAACATGAACAAATTAAAAAGAAAACTGTCCGTGAGCGTTTGGAGCAGATCAAGAAAACAGAACTGGGTGCCAAAGCTTTCAAAGATATTGATATCGAAGTATGTAACACATTACTTCTTAACTTGAATCCACATCTCAGAAGCCTAGTCCTTTACTGTTTATTGATTACGTTGGGTTTTCTGGTGGTTTTCGCTCCCTTTGGTACAGCTGATTCATTCATCTGTGAAGTAAACATTTGTTTTTTAATGGCTCTTAAGTTTTTAACCCTTGTTAAAGTGGAGTTGGGTATGTGCAGTTTAGAGTAACGAGAAATAGATGTTAAGATCGTGGTGTTTTCCCTACGTGGAAGTGGAGCTAAGACTGTTGTAAGGCATTCTTACGTTGCTTAAGTTGACGCATTGTGCGCGTTTACTCAGTGTATAGAAAGTAATTTAGGTTTTTGAGTTTGGAAAAATCACATTTTCCATACACATTTCTCTTGGATTCTTAGCGATTGTGCATTTGTAATACTTTCAGGATCTCGAAGAGTTGGATCCGGATTTCATCATGGCTAAACAGGTTGAGCAGCTGGAGAAAGAAAAGAAGGAACTTCAGGAACGCCTGAAAAATCAAGAGAAGAAGGTAGGCGGAAGAACTGGTTGTTGATCAACTTAACGTGCCAGATTAACAGAAGATGTTCCTTTAAACTACATTTGTTTTCACGTCATTCAGATTGACTATTTTGAAAGAGCCAAACGTTTGGAGGAAATCCCGTTGATAAAGAGTGCTTATGAAGAACAGAGGATTAAAGACATGGATCTGTGGGAACAACAGGAAGAAGAAAGAGTAAGGTTTTTGTTGAACTGTAACATCTATAGGCTGTAAACTGTAATTAAATCCTCTGCCAGTAACGGGGCCGTGGATTCAAAACCATGATTATTTCGTGTTCTTTAGCCAGGAATGGTGCTTCAGTGGCTGCGTGCTAGCAGATTGGTCGGCAGAGAGGAATTTTCACAACAGAGTTTTAAAAATGAAACTTGTACAATACAAAGGACAGCTGAAAAGGTCACTAAAAAAGCAGCTTTATGGGCATATAATTCACATGCCATACAGTTCTCACATTTAAACTATACAGTTCATGGTTTTTAGTATTGCACAACCATTTAATTTTAAAACATACCCCAAAAGAAGCCCCATACGCTTCGGCAGTCATTCCCCATTTCCTCCCCCCCCACCTGGCCTCTTGTAGTCAGCAGTCCCCTTTCTGTCTCTATATTTGCCTGTTTTTAAGACTTTTTATATAAATAGAGCCACATAATGTATGGCAGTTCCTTCTTTGTGACTAGGCCGTTCCTTCTGTAGTTTTGTTAGTATATGTTGTATTTACCCTAATGATTCAAAAGCAAGGTTTGCGAATGCTTGTAGCGGCCCCATTCTGGTTATATATAAATAAAAAGTAACTATAGACAGCACATCTGTGGGGACTGGAGTGGGGGATGCAGCCTCTTGGTTGCATTGGAGTGTTTGCATTCTGGGCTTTGTTTGCCAGTGCCTTGCATTTCTTCACAAGCTAGAAATTTTTTTTTTTTAAGATTTTATTTATTTATTTATCAGAGAGCGAGAGAGTGAGCGCGCGCGCACACAAGCAGGCAGAGAGGCAGGCAGAGGCAGAGAGAGAAGCAGGCTCCCCACTGAGCAAGGAGCCTGATTCGGGACTCGATCCCACGACCCTGGGATCATGACCGGAGCCAAAGGCAGAGGCTTAACCAACTGAGCCACCCAGGCGCCCCTAGAAATTTTTTTTTTTAAAGATTGTATTTATTTGACAGAGACCCAGTAAGAGAGGAAACACAAGCAGGGGGAGTGGGAGAGGGAGAAGCAGGCTCCCCGCTGAGTAGGAATTCCCAGTGTGGGGCTTGATCCCAGGACCCTGGGATCACGACCTGAGCCGAAGGCAGATGCTTAACAACTGAGCCACTGAGGCGCCCCACGAGTTAGAATTTTTGTGGTAATATGTAAAATTAGGGAAATAAGAATGCAGACCAAATAAAGTACTTGAGATGATCTGCTGTAGTCTTTGCCCTGAAGCCCTTTTCCCCCTTGGAGTGCAAAGGGAAAGGGCTCCTTAAATCACCCTGCCTTAACCTCCAGTTTTCTTTAAGGGAGAAAATATCTTTTATCATTAAACCATAGTGCTTGTTATCTCTGAAGTATTTTATGGTATATGTTACAGTTTTTCTTTCATAAAAATTTGCAGTACTTTTGGGCCTAAATAAAAACAGTTTCTTACAGATGCTCCCAGAACTCCATCATCCATCCTCTGTCCCTGATTGCCTTACTAGGGACATTGGGCACGGATATAGTAATGTTTCTGTATTTATGGCAAGATGGATGGAGCAGAGGAGCTGCTTGTCATTCTTCAAGAATATCTGTGAAGAACTAAGAGTAAATTAATCAGATAATGATTGCTTTGAAATTTAACTTTGTATTATGTACTTGCAGATTACTACCATGCAGCTAGAACGTGAAAAGGCTCTTGAACATAAAAATCGAATGTCACGAATGCTTGAAGACAGAGATTTATTTGTAATGCGACTCAAGGCTGCACGACAGTCTGTTTATGAGGTGAAGTTAACTGATTTCTGGGGAACATTTATTCATGAGCTTTTTATTTTGCCTTAAGGTTCTTCTTTAACACAGTGGTATATTCTGTTTTGACGTTTTGTAGTGATCATTCAAATAATATTTTAGCAGAAAGGTTCTTGAAAATAGAGGCTATTAGTCAGCCATCACTATAAATAAATTTTTCTGAAGGTGAAAGTGGACTGGATAAAATTTGCTTTTGATACAAGCTTGTTTACTATTTGATTTAGAAAGGAAAAAGGCAGATCGAAGTGTTCTGTTCTTAAATTCTAAT